TTTTTTTAAAAAAAAGAAGGGAAAAAAAAAAGGAAAAAGAAAAAGTATAGAGTGGGCATGCCTTTTTACAAACTTTTCCACCTCTGTGAAATCTGGAACCACCAAATGCTAATGAGCAGGGTAGTTGTAACATATAACGGAATATTACATCTCTCTTAAAGAGGATGAGGTGAGCCTCTGTTTAAGAGGGGGCTTCAAAAATGTATGGAAAAAATATAGCTGAGTTTTTCTATAAAATTTTCGAAGCCCCTTTGTATTAACATAAGACTAGGCCCAGGTATTTTTTAAAGTAATAATAATAATAATAATAGAGTAAATACAGTATATTTCACCTTTTCTACAATAAATGCCAGTATCTTAATTTTTTCTGTTTGTAGAAGAGAATCTATTTATTTACCAAACCATTTACAGTGATTATTTTGTGGGACTACTGGATGAGACTGCTTACTTTGTACCTTATAGACGGTAGGATGTAATCGGCAGGAATTTTGTTTGATTTGTTACCAAATCCTACTGTACATACTGGTGTTTGGCATATGACAAACACACAATAGTGCCGAATGAATGAATAGATGTTATTGTTAGGTGCCATTGGTCCCACGTGCAGTTACAGAACAACAGTGCAACAGAATAGATTCACCTCACCGTTTTTTTTTTTCCACCTCACCTTTTTAATTGAAGGTGTGGAATTCCGTTATGTTTAACCACTCTCTCATTTGTTAGAACTTGGTGGTTTCCAGGTTTCACAGTGGACAAATAGGTTGTTATAAAAACACTAGACCTGACTTAATAACAATATGCTTATTGATCCTAGAACTTTCTTGTGCTAACCTCATAATCATAACTTTGTTTGAGCCCATTGTTGCAGTCATTGTGTCAATTCCCTCTAGATATTTGGTACTGAGCGTGGTTCTGGAGGAAAAAAATTCTAAGGATGAGTTTTCTAAATTGGTTCTCAAGTCTGGCTAGGCTTGAAGAATCGATGACTTTCCTTCTAAAGAGGACACTAGTAATCCATAGTGCGAAATGGCAATAGAAATAAGCAAAATATCACCACCAATGGAGAAAATATTTGTGAGAAACAAGGGTCTTGTGATGGCATATTAGATGCTTTTCAATGGTTTTATGAGAATGAGAAGAATAAGGAGTTAAGTCGGTTTGTCTTACTTTCAGTAAGCAAAGTGGTGAAAGAGAGATGAACCCAAGGCTTCTAAGTCACAGCTTAACCTTTTGCACAAATGATCTGAAAGTTGCTGTGTGTTCTCTGAAAGAGAACCTTATTTCTTGTAGCAACAAAGCTGATATTGCTAAAAATAAAATCCGGAGTCTTATTGTAAGAGTGACTGAATTACAATAACAAGTGCGTCCTCAACCTTGAACGATATCTGAAGTGAAGGGGAGGCATTGATTTGGAAGAATTCTAGGCCAAGTAAATGCCATTCTCCCTCAACCAGTGGAGAGGGTCATAGTCCTCAACCAACACCAAGACGGAAGTCACTTTACAAATCCATAAGTTCTGGAATGAATTATATTCCATTCCCCTTGTGGAAGGACCGCAATGTACTACCAAAATGTATACTATTATTGTCTCCCTGCTAACCCCCAAAGAGAGCTATGGTTTTTGACTAGAGTTCCTTGGGGGAAGGAAATACTCAGACTTTTAAGGGGTTACTGGATACTGGCTCTGAACTGACACGGATTCCAGGAACCCCAAAGCATCACAGTGGCCACCAGTCAGTGGAGTTGTAGGAAGGACAGGTCATTAATGGATTTTTAGATCAGGCTATTTAGTAGTAATTCCAGTGAACCCTAAAACCCATCCTGTAGTGATTTCCCTATTTCCAGAATGTATAATTGGAATAGTTGGAATGCATAATTGGAATGCAAAATTGGAACACTCAGTAACAGGGACTCTCTATTGACTCTCTGACAAATGGAGTCAAGGGGAAAAGCCAAGTGGAGGCCATTGTAAATGCCATTATCTAAGAAAATAGCAAATCAGAGCGACACTGTCTTCCTGGATGGATGGCAGGGATCAGTGCGACCAGCAAGTACTTGAAGCACAAAGGGGTGGTGGTTCTTACCATAGACCACTTCAACTTGCTTATTTTGCATGTGCAACAAGACAGATGGATCTTGGATAAAGAGGTGGATTATTGTAAATTTTACCAGGTGGTGACTCCAATTGCAGCTGCTGTTCCAGATGTGGTTTTATTGCTTGAGCAAGTTAATACAGCTCCTGGTACTTGGTATGCAGCTGTTGATTCGGTCCATAACTTTTTCTTGGTTTTGATTTCAAAGAATCACTAGAAGCAGTTTGTCTTCAGTTGTCTTCACTTGCTACCTAAGCATATATCAATCGTCCAGCTATATAGCATGATTTAATTCACAAGGACTGTGTTAGACTGGTTGACTAGAGAAACAAATCCAAAGACACTTATGTATGTAAGAGCTTTATGTCAAAGAGCTGCGACCGGATTGACAGGCTGGACTTCACCCCTACACTTACTTATCAAGTTGACATGAAGTTATGTAGCTACCACAGCGACCGTGATAACTTTCCCCTTACACGGCATGTCACACCAGTCTCTTACATTAATAACATTATGCTCATTAGCCTAAGGAATAAGTATCAATGACTCTACACATAAAAACACTTTGTGTGTTAGAGGTGGGAAGTGAACCCAACAGAAATTCATGTGCCTTCTAACCTTAGTGAAAATTTTAAG